GGGCAATCAATATGGTATTATTTATTACATCACCAGTGCTGATAGACTGTTATAATTCATAAAAACATGTGAAGTTTATTGATTTTCTAAGATACTGACTTAAAATTGAGCTATATTTTCAAATCACTGCGTTTATATGAAACTATAGTCATTATAGCAAAGTGGATTTTTTAGACAATTTAAGATGCAACAATGTCAATACATATTAAAGGCACAAATATATCCAGGTTCAGAACATAAAGCTGCATATGCTACTATATCAGTTGTTATGCATGAAGGGGACTTCTTGTTCTACAATAAGTAATGTACTTGTTTACAACCCTATTCAATATATTCCTCTGAAAGTTCATAAAAGCATGATAAACAATGGCTCAAGATTGAAAAACTCAGGTTTTCCAAGTGCAATAAAACTATACCTGTCGATTCTCACAATGGCTCTTTACAATTGTAACAATAATTTGGCAAAGCAGAGAATGCTTGTTCAAATGAAAAAGCTGACATTTTTAATTTCCATGTAGCTCAACAGCTTGTTATTTCCAATAATACTAAATCAGCATCAGCATCTTGTCTACTTTTCCCAAAAGGAACACTTTATTCACTATAAGGTTATGTTGTTCATTTAAATCTGCAGGGCAACAGAAATAATTATTTTTTTTAAATGATGAAATAATTAACTCTGGAAGTCAGGAAAAATGTGTATTTCTCCATATGTATAAAATCCTTTCAAACAGTACTGCTAGGTAGGAAAGAAAAGTTAACTACCACAGAACTCTATGACAGGAATTTATTAGAAGCATTACTGCTGTATTTCAACACTGTAGGTACTTTCTCTGACAGGAAAATCTCCTTCCCAGGAATTAGTTATAAGTGTACATCGACTTTTGATGTGCATGTAGATTTGACTTTGCTTTTGAAAGCAGAGCAGCCTCCTTTTTTCTGCAGGGTGTGTTGTGTTCCCCTTTAGAGGTCATTGGTGTAGGAATAATGCTGGAGGAGGAAGAACTCCAAACAAATGTTCAGATCTCCCATCTGCCATCCTGGTCTCACAGTGTGATCTAAGGAAGGTCCACATCAGGTCAAGTGTGGAAACTTTAGGTGTTCAGCTTTTCTGTGGGTTTCTGTTACCCTCAAGCTTTCCTTCTATGGAATCAGGAAGGGTGGAGAGAGAGAGAGACACGGCTGGGATGCTCATGAGATTCTGCAAGCTTCTGGGTTTGATCCTTCCATGCTTTTCACTGCTCTGACAGTAGCATCTCAAGGTTTCCAAAATATTAGAAAAAAGGGGAGAGGCAGCTTGGGGCTACAAAGCACATGGAGGGGATGCCAAAGAAAGTTCTTGCCAAGTACTCAAGCAAGAATGGGGCATGGTACAAATTCTCTGCAACTTCATCTCCCCGGCTGTCATACAGGGCTACCCAAAAATTGAGGGTTTCATCAACATAGACACTTTAGCAGGTACAGCACACCAAAAAATACAAAGAAAAAAAATTACAAGATTACCACAGCCAACAACAAACAATACAGATCACCTCTAGCTACCCCTTCAAGAGATTTCAAATTGGTGTTTTAAATGAAGTGTTTACTGTAATACTGAGAAATAAATTGTTCTGTTAGGTAGCATGTGTCTTTATAGATTCTTATGTGCCACAATTTGTCTCTCATCCAGAAGGCATCTTTCCAATGTGTTTTTTTTTTGTTTTTTCAATATTAAAGAAAAGAGCCCCTTACCATTTCCACAAGCTTGCTTAAGTACCAAGCATATTAGCAGTCTGAAATATTTTCATGTATGGGTGATAGAGAAAAAGGTACAAATGGATCCTAATTCATGCTTAGGTAGCTCCATTTTTGGAAGGGAAAATGAGCTATGCAAAATTTCCTGAGGCAAGAAAAATAGGTTTTTCAATACAAAAGTCTGCTCTTATGGGAATAATGAGAACAACCTTTGAGTTCCTGAAATATTATAAATTAACTGAGCCATCCTCAGACTTTGTGGTCTATTAAGGTATGTGGAGAGGGAAGAAAAGATTTTCCAATAACTTTAATGACACTGGACATGTTTCGATCATGATACGCATATCTAAACCACCTGGACTGTGGCAACTTTTTTCCTTCAATTATTCAACTTCCAAATAAAGGATTTATTTATGCTTTTTTCTCCCCATAATCTATTTTGATATAATAATTTAGATATTTTACAAAAGGATAATTTAGATATTTTGCAAAAGTGAAAAAAGAAATATATAAAAATTAACAGCGATTTTTTTCCCCAGAGATCATATTCAAAAGTCAAAGCAAATAAAAACAGAATGGGTTTAAGTATCCATGCTTGTATCTCAAACATTGCCACAGGATCTCCAAAAAAATATGGTCTTTTCAGCAGGTCCTGAGACTCTTTAAAATGAAAGAAACCACAAAGCCCAGCACTTTCGTAGGTTGGTAACAGGAACAAGGCTTTAATCTAAGATATCTCAGGGAATCAAGGACAATAAACTTGGAACATTACCTGTCCCTTTCTGAAAAATCAGATCCAAAAGGCACTAAAACACACACACACACACACACCCCACACACATCAGATTGAAACAATACAAAAAACCCAGTCTTCCTCACTTACCAGCAGGCTGGTGTGAATTCTCATTCCCTTGGCCAAGACCTAATTAAAGAGGCCCCTGTAAAATATTGACCGTAGAGAAAACTGCTGCAGTATGAAAGGCTACTGTCCTTAGAGGTGCTTGTTCACACACTCTGCAGAAAGGTACCAGCAACACATGAGAGCCAGCAGCACAGAGGGGCAGAGCCTCCTGCACCTCCCCCGGGGCAAGGATGGAGCAACTGCCAGAAGCTCTGTAGCATATGATGGAAGAAACAGAATCCTGAGAAGTTTTTGAAACAAAATAGCAAGAAACACAACTTAAGGTATGGCAACCAAAAAGCATATTTTTTAATATCAAGGAAAAAAATAGTAATTTCTGTGCTGGATAAGTCAAGCCTTTATTGCTAAACCAGCTTAAGTTAAAGCAGGTGGCAAACTGCTATACTCTGTAACCAATGAAAGCATAAAAATCAGTTTCACAAATTATTTCTTAGCATTCCAGTTGTAGCAAGCAGGAGATTCAGGAAAACTTATTTTAATTAAAAACTTTATTTTTCATTACAATTCACAGTTTATACATGGCAAGAAGAACCCTTGCCATGTGGACATTCAGAACACTGTGCTGGGGAGACAAGGGTCTTTGTTATAAGAGCATTGCTCGGTGCTGTGTCATGGAACTTTCTTAGTTTTAAAAGCGTACTCTCTGTAAATGTTAATTGACTGATATTTACACTGAATGTACATATTAACTTATATTTATTAGAAAACAAGCTAAGCATCCAAAAAACATGAACATTCATATCTTGCATGTTATCTAATGGTCAGAGATGCTGTAAGATTTGCCACTTGAATCATGCCCAATCAGCAATGTCCCATTTTTTTAATTTACAGAGCCTAAATTTTTCTTTAAGGCCTGTTCTACTCATTTTATGTACAGCCAGGTTACAAGAGACTAACATAAGGAAAAAAATGCAAAATTATCCGTTCCATCCTGCATTTCTTCTGAATCTCATGTACACCTATAAGCAAAACAGAAGGTACAAAATTAATGTGTTTTCTTAAAACCAATAAAGAAAACCCACAGTCTGGTTTAGATCTGCTTCTTGTCATCCTATCCTGTCTGAACAATCATCGGTATTCAGATTGTGCTATTTATCAGCTCTTCTTCATGCCTGCATTGATATTCAGAGCCATCTCTATGTGAAATGTAGAAAGTCACAGTGATACCAGTTTCAATTGCATTCCCACGTTAGCCACAGCTCTGGCACAGGCAGCCCACGTGACATTCAGGAAAACACTCCACCAGGATTCCTGGGTAAAATATCATGTAGCCTCTGGGGTGACTTGGCTTAAAAAGGAAATTAAGTATCCTTTTTATACCAAATATCTGGCAGAAGGTTTATGTTTATTAAAAATAGCTGTATTCTTCTGCATTGGTTTTTTTGGACGCGATTATTAGAACACAGCAATTTAAAGCCTCCCCCTGCCTCTCATCAAAACAGTAATTTTTACTTGCTCTTGTCATCTACCAAATAATTTAGTGATAGATAAGCTGCAGATTTTTTTGGTACATCTAATGCAGAGAAAAACAACTGCTGAACACTGCTTGGAAAACTAAGACCTGGAGGGTCTGCAAATCCTACAAGTCAGCATGAAGGGTCTGCAAATCCTACAAGTCAGCATGAACAAATATCAGCTGGACCTGAGTAAAACAAAATGCTTCTGGGGACAGGTTTGCAACTTTTGAAACTGCAGTGCCTTTAAATTTGGAGCTAACAACATCAATTGATGATTGTTGAGTTTTGGCATTCATTCATGCTGGTTGGTATCTTCACAACAGACACCTTTGAAACACCACCATTTCAAGAACGAAAGGCTTAAATGAAATACACTTCTCATGCAAAAAACCCAAACAAATAAAAGTTGTACAGGAACTGTAGAGGTTCTGATTCTTCAAAAGATAAGGCACTGACCAAAATTTCTTAGGTAAAAGGCTGCATAAGAATTTCTTGCCATTTACAAATGTGTTGTAGTCCAGAAATGGTCCATTCCTAGGCTCAGTAAGGTAGACCCTGAAATTTTAAGGACTGATCCCTCAAAGCTACATTGTTACCATAAACAAGTGAGATTCATTTGTGAGGCCATATGGCACATTAGAAGTGAAAAACAGTCTGGGCAGATAAAGGCAGAAAACATTGCTTGTTCCAGCATCTTTTGGAAACAGCAGTGCCATTCATCTATGTGTCTCTGAAGAGATACAATGGTAACTCGGGACTGTAGTTTTTCTGTGGAACTCATGCACACATATAAAATGCTGCTAGCACTGGTCATCGACAGGGTGGGGAAAAAAAGGTGTATGGCTAGTCTAAGCCAAGAACTTCCCAAGCGCTGGGATCCAAAGTCATGGCTACTTAATGTTCTCGATCACGGCTATCTCTTCCGCTGCACAGTGCGGCGTCAAACCATTCATGTAAATGCTGTCCGTCTTTGTCAGAGCTGGCAAGAGGTCCTTCTCGCTGGTCAGGTGGTTCACTGAGAGTGTTCTCTTGCAGGGGGTCAGATCTTGGTTGTGGTTGACGGCAAGTTCTGCAGAGAGCTTCCTTTTGATGGAGGTGGCTCGCTGGAACTTGTCGTAGATCTCCACGCTCAGGCGCCTTCGAGTCTCCTTGAACTCAGCGGTGACATTGGCTGTCCACTCTGCAGCGTGGGCTCTGAACTCCCCGACCTGCAGCAAAAAAAGCAATAAAAAGGAAGCATTATGGCACCAAGGACTTCAGACACTGTTTATCTTCAGGAGCATGGAGAGAGTGCAGGGCTGCCAAAGAGCTGCTGCTGCCACTAGCACAAATTTCTCATGCCAAAGACTCACTCTTTTATTGACAGCAGCTAAAGAAGAAATGTTGCACTAGTAAGAGTTAACAAGAGGTCCAAAAACACAAAAATCTTTTTGGCTGATTTTTTTTTTTTTATTGTTATCATAGGCAGACAGCAATACAGAGAAGCTGCAGAGGCTTGACAGCTGCACAATACCTAGCTGGTCAGGGGATGCTGAAATCCCAGCAATCCAGGCTGTGTTATGTATTGTTACTAGGGTGAGAGGTTATTTATGAGCACTTTCTCTGTCTCTGGAAAGATCCTTGGGAGACTTGGAAAAAATTTTCTAAATTTAGACAGAAAAGCTTTTTCAAAGGAAATCATCGGCTGTTTGCATCCTCTTTCCTGTGCTTGCTCAAAGACAGCACCAACACAGCAACAGTTAAAAGTCACCTCAGTGGCATGTCTGCTTCCCAGCCTGAATCCCAAATCATCCTTATTTTTCCTCAGATATGGCATAAGGTAAACTAGCAGATCTAGTCTGAGGTAAACTGTGGCCTGTCATTTGTTTACTATTTATACTTTTGCACTTGCATTTCAGTCAAACCACTGCTACATTAAATAAGCAGGAGGCACCTTTTGTTGATATTATCTCATTGTAACTCAAAAGGAAATAGATTGTTTCTCTTTAAATCTCTTCTCCCTCAACAGCTTAATATTGGGAAAGTATAGCACAGGGAATATAGTGAAGCATTCCAGGAGAATTTAACCCACATAAATTAGTCTAATTGGTACTGTTCAGTCCAGAATTTCAATCACTCGCAAGCAAACTTTGACTTAGTAAGCAAAGAAATGAAAAAATAATTTACACAGAGAAATATAGGGGGCAAACCATCAGAGAAAAAGCCACAAGCTTATTCATGCTTTGCAGTGCAGTGGAAAACAGGAATATAATGAAGGTAAAAATTAATCAGCTCATCCAGGAGTGACAGAGTTTCAGGAAAACTTTCCCCCCTCCAGAAACAAAACAAGATGATCTCTTTACTCAAGGGTCATTTTATTACATTAATCTCCACTTCAGTGAATTACACAGATGACAAATGCAGACAAAGGTCTGTTTTCTAAAACACGCGTCTGCAATAAACAGAAGACTCACCTAGCTGAATGATTATTAGTATTTAATTTGTGCAGCTAGAATCAGACACACTAAACTTCAGATCTGAAAATAATGAAATCTGCAATGCTGAAACATCTCAGCTGCTCCAATATTTTACTTGTAGTAAACAAGTAATAAAAATATGATAAATAGTATCAGTGCACACCCTGGGACATTTTTTTCCTTTTCCTAAGCCTTACTAAAGGCAGGTTGCCCAGGTCCTGGACAATGGCTCTGTCTAGGGGGAGCAAAGAGCCAGTACACAGGTTTCCTCTTCACTGTATATATTTGTGCCACTCACCAGTTGTGTAAGCGTTTAACAGACCAGGTATTTTGCTCAGGCACACATATCTGGCATTGCATTTGGGCACATTCAAGAGATGCTATCAGGATTTAAAATTATTCTTTCAATTTTTTTAATTTTTTTTTTTTTTATGTTTCCATGTGATTTCATATTTGTCCAGGAGAGACAATCAACTGGTCTTGCTTCTGAAGTAAGCAAGTTTGTGTGATAAACTCAAGGATAGGCTCAGAATGTTCCTGGTGATGGACCTGTCTTGCACAGGGCAAGCTGTTCCTGGGCATTCAAGTTTTTCAGGAGAATCTTAAAATCCTACTAGTTGGGATATCTGATGTCTGAATCTAGTGAGATTTCTTTGGGGAAGCAAGTTCATGCAGCCAACTGAAGAGCATCAATAAATGTGCCTTTGGAGACAGGCTCATTCCAATTAAGGTGGTGTGGAACACTAGCATGGTGGACACAATTCTACCTGCCCATACACCAAAGTTGTGATGTTGGTTTATATTAAAATTCTTGGAGAAAAATACAAATTGAAGCAATAGCATTAATAACAGCATGTTAAGTAGAATCAAGATGCATTAGTAGAAAAACAGAGAGAATTGAAACATTAAGAACCAGGAGTTCAGTGCTGTTTGAACTATGCATGCCCCAAATCACTGCTTTTGGCCCCTACTCTTCGTGTGAATTGAGATGCATTCAAAAATATTACCTCTTTGAAACAAAACTCTTAATTCCATAGCACTTCCAGACTCAAGCAGGGTTGTAAGAAAAGGATTATAAGAAAAGAAATGTACCGTTTTGACTACCAGTTCACATTAGTACCTTGCTTATATAATTTGATCCCTCCTGGATCCATAGGGACATATCTCTAATATGTTCAGGTTCTTTCTGTCCTTAGGTTATGACATTTTAACAGACTGCATTACAGCTCCTCTTCATCTGGGCTCTAACAACTGAAAAATGTCTCCTGCCAGTTGCCTGTGCTGCTCAAAAGAAATTAAATTCTTGGCATACCTACATACTGTAACAACAATTTACTTTTCTCCAGATCTCTTGCCTCGTTACAGCACAGCTCTGTAGACTCTGCAGCTGTCATAGTTGGGGGCAGTGTGACATGAGGACAAGGCCTCTTAGTCACAGAAATTATTGATAACTACATACTTAACATAAGGCTGAATGTCACAGAATATTTCAGAAGCAATAGGAAAAACATGTCATAGTGATAGCACCTGACTCAGTCATAGAAGAAGCAGCACTAATGATGCTTCTCACTTTAACCTTCAGGGAAGAGAAATGCTACTAGTAATGGGGACACAGGCCCTATCCCAGCTCCTGAATTACTTCCTCCACATCAAAATCCAAATTAGATTGCAAGGTGTTACACATATTTCACAAGGAGTATCAACCTAGCTATGCTGAACATCAACAGCAAGTAAAACTGTATTACGTATTTAAGAAGCAGGAAGCAGCACCCTACTGCCTTATGATTTCAGGGAAGACAAGCCTCAATAACAAGTTCTCGAGAATTATGGTATATAGTAACACAACTAAGTATTCCTCACACACTTCACCAGAAAACTTCACCAGAAAACAACAACAACAAAAATTTAAAAATAAAAAGACACCAGAAACCCAAAACAACCCCCAAAACCCAACACCCACAACTTTTCCAACAAATGAATAGCATTGACCCAATTCCTTGCCCAGCCCAGGTTGCCTGTCTTCCAGCTAACACTGCCAGGGTATCCCATATGACCTGCACCATATCCAACAACCCTGGGAGGATGTCTCAAATACCACAGGTCATGTCCAGTAACAACTCCAAATGTCTGTGCCAATTTATGTGCCTACCTGTGGTGGTGATGTCACAATTACTCATTTAGCATATAATGAGAAACTGCCTCCGAACCATTTGTGAAGAGTGTTCTACTCATTCTTGTTAAAGTTACTATTGGGTTTTTTGGGGGGGTTTTGTAGTGAAAAACAGACCGACACCAATAAAGTACTGCATGAACTTCCTGAATGACCAAACAGTTCCCAGGCTGCACACATACATGATCACCAATATAACTTCAAGACAGATATACTGAATTTGACAGAACTAGAAAAAAAACATGGACATTAAGCCACCACTCCTTCACCTACTCCTGCCAAAATCCATCTAAATTAATAATGTTCTAGAACTGGCTCTCAGTCAATATCTCTAACAGGGTCAAAAGTTCCTATGCAGTTTCATTGCTACTGTGTTTTAGCTTTCTCTCCAGCTGAGCTCCACGCTTGGGTAAAGGCCAACAGCATAAACCAGAATGCAAGGATGTAGCAAGGGGATGCTATTGTTGAAACTAAAAAAAACATTTGAACTTACTGAAGCACCTGCCTTATCCTTCAGTACATTTGCTCTCATTCCTTACACTTGTCAAGAGTTTGAGAATCTTTCTGGACACTCACAAAACTATCCAAATGCTAATGCATGCAAAACTTCCCACCGTTCAGGAAGACCAATCATGCTATTAAGTACCTGGAAGGCACAAGCCATGTAGCCATGTATTTAAGTAATCTGTATTTTGAATTAAGTAATCTGTATTTTGAATTAAGCCACATCTGTGCTCTAGCAGGAAAATAAACAATCAAAAGCATAATTAAGGACATCCTTAAATAGACCAAGACAAATGCACTTGCCTAACTTAACTTTGCCTTAGTTTTGCTCCTCTGTCAAAGGGATATTCTTGAAAAACCCCTACATCACAGTAGATCAGTTAATCTGCTTACAAAGGGGGAAGAAATATATCCTGCTTGGATGGAGCTCAGATATATGATATGAAAGCTATTATATACTTAGGAGGAGGTATACCACTGAGTAGAAAATAAAAAAAATAGCATTATATATATGTCATGCAAGAAAATGAAAACATATATTTCTAAGTAATGTGTGTAGCTTTTTCTGTCATTGCTGATCATTATATTGTTTCCCTTTGGCATACAGGGCTCATACATTTTGTGATGAGCATGTTAGTGCAAGCCAAAAAATTGAATTTAAAAAGCAAGTAGATGAGCTGGTGGTATCCATTTGACTACATTTTAGGGTGAAAAACAAGTGCCCTTCTTTACAGATGTTCTTAATGGTCTAGATGTTGCCCAGTATATAATTTCTTGCATTTAGCCCTAATGCATTCTCCAAATTTTCATAGCTTCATTTTTCCTCTGCAGTGTACTTTATCCTGCTACTTAAAAATAACACATCCAATTAACCTCTCTATGATACGCTACTCAGGCAAAACTAGAAAGTGCATTACATGTCAAATTATGCAGGCAGTAGAATAAAGAACATAACATTTTGCCTTAGCTCTCAGGAAATTCAGCCAGTGTTCACAGAAATTGTTCACAAAGTTCCTTTAAAAAAATGTAGGTGCAGAGAGGGGTGATGGGTTTAACAACTCAGCTGCTGGGTAGGTTT